GGTATGTCGTGTAGGATAGATGAGTCATAATTAAAAATTAATACTAAAATTGTACATTAAAAAGGCGTGCTATTTTTCAAATGGGAAAGATTTTTTGGGACAAATGGAGTATGAAATAAGACAATGATTTTAATTAATATGGAGAGCATAATAATTGGAAATATTAAAAAATTAAGAGTATTACGGCCTTATCAGGAGGAACGTTTTCGATTAGCGTTAGCGTTTTGGATAAAAATTTAATAGTACACTAAAGAGTAAATACTATCGTTAATTAGTCTCTTTAAGACGCGGATGCCAAATCGAGCCTATATAAGGAAAAACCGTGCCGGGGCAAACTGAAAAAAAAAATAGAAAGAGCAAAAGGTTAAAATCGGTGATTGGGAAAGATCTTATTACTTATTAGGACTTGTTTGGTCAAATTTTGGGTATCAAGAAAGTACACTTGTTTGAATTTCGGCGTTTCTTCGTCTATGTCGTCGCTAAAAGACACATTTTTCATCCAAAGGAAATACTAACATTGCTAGTGGTCATTTTTTAAAACTTTCATATCTTTTTTTTATGTCAAATTAGCTTCAAAATAAAAACAAATTTTAATCTTTTAAAGAAAACTAGTATTTCACTCTTGCGTTGCACGAGAATATATTACTTCTAAAAATTGATATGAGCTTTATAGTTGAGGTTTTTTAATTTTAAACTTAAAAATATTTATAAATTATATAAGTAATACTCAAATACGATGAAATAATTTGACTCACATGGTATATCAATAATTGATATACCATATATGCTCCAACCCTTTTTCCTACAAATTGACCACTCTCCATTGATTGAGAAATACGGAGTATATGTCAATTTTAAAGCGTAACATTAACCCCATAATTGACAAGTAGCAATTCAATGAGGTTTGTAAATGGTCTTATTCCGTATAGAAAAATCCTGATTTTTTTCTAATTAAATATAACATCATTTTATAAAAAAAAGTTATAATTAAAAAATTCTTATCTATTTTTTCCCGGTTATTTTCATTTCTTTTTCCTTTAATTGTTTAGATCTATTCCTCTGATTTTTCTTTTCTATTTTTGTACATGATTTTAGTAAAAACACAGTTTCATATTTAATACAGTCCAATAAATAATTTTCGAATTTAAAATAATTAGAAGAGTAAAAAATAAATAATAGAAAAAGAAAACAAAAATCAGATAAGATTGTTCAGAATTTTATTTATTTAAAATGTTTTAACAATTAATTTTAATTTAATTTAATTAGAGAAAAAATAGGAGTTTTTTGAAAATAACAAAATTTTTACAGAGTAATATTGGAAGTATACACTAATTCTAAGGTTCTTGTTAAGTTTAAGACAAATTTTATCGTGGACCTAAGTTCTTACTTATTTTACAGATTTAATGTATCTGTACCATCAAGGAATTGGGCCCTGGTAAAAAATAAAATATTTATATGCAACCCCTTAAATTTAGTATCTATACGCTATTTGAATTGCCTTTTGAATTAGCACTTGCCAATTCTAAGGCTCATGTTAAATTTTTAGAAATGACATATTTTTTCAATATTAAAACGATATAAAGAATTTTAAAAGGCAATTTTGTAAATTTCTAGCCATAAAAGAATGAAATTCTAGACTCACAAACAAATAGTTTACAAACTTCACAAAGTTAATTACCTTTTGTAAATTTTAAATTAATTTTTTTATTTGAGTGTAACTTATTTCTACTAAAATGTTAAAAAGGCAAGTTTGAGAATTTTGTGAATGCTCGTTTCTAACTCTACTATTACTCAGAAAAGAAACATGTGGTGTGCAACTAAGATTTTTAGAGTTCATTTATCAATTGCCTTATTTTTTGGTGAACCTAAGATTTGAATTACTTTTTATGAACCTTCTCATATCAAATACGGAACACTTCTTCCGTTCCTAAAAATTTTTCTCTACAAAATTTAATCTATTTTAAAATGATTTTTTCACAAGTTGATATAAAAACAAAAATATAACATACATATCAAAAATCTATATAAAAAACTCTACAGAAATTGTTGGTGACAAAAATATCTTATTTTATCAAATTACAAATAAAAAAAGCACACACAAACTAAGGTAGATGTAAATTATAGATATTCTCACACATTTTTCATGGTCTTTTTTTTTGAAACACATTTTTCATGGTCTAATAGTTGGGTTTCCTTATTTTTACAAGGCCCATTACATAAATTTACTTTGAGAGTGAAGATCAATAAAATTAGCATTGACTTAAAGATAACAAAGGAATTTGCAGATTTTTTATTCAACTCATCTTTCTTTTAAATCGCCTGTTGTTGTTTAGAGGTTTAAAATTGACCTTGTGAATAGTAAATATTCAACTTAAATTTAGAGAGAGGGAGTAGTACTCTTTTTATTTCGTGAAAAATATTCTCACTTTGATTTTTTGATCAATTCAAAATACACTTAAGTCATTAACAAAAAATGTGATAGAATTTAGGATATGGAAATGATTATTAGATTGGGCCATAAGACACAAACTATATTAATAAATTTAATTCAATCAATTACTTAGTTCAACTCAAAAGTTTATACACCGATTTATTTTTCTCTTCAAGTTTCCAATATTAGATACTCTTTAACAGTCTCCCTCAGGTGGACAACCGGATAATTTTGAATATAACTGGTTGACCACTAGAAAATGAAAGGATCGAAACGCCAACACCTAAAAAACCACGATATATTGGGCATGGATTTTAAGACGAACATTCAGTTTATATAGGCTATAGCGATTTTTCATACGGACAACTAGTTAAAGACAAATAGTCGCAAGGAATTGATTTCTAGATGGACACCTCTATAAACAAGGTGAGCCAAAATCTACTCTGATACTATGATAGAAGTTAAAATAAAGAGGGGTTATTCGATTGAGCCAATAGATACTTTGGCTAATTATATTAAAAGATTGAATCTAATTTAATTGATTATTTAGTTCAATTCAAGAACCGAAAAAGTTATATATCGATTTATTTTTCACTTCAAGTTCTAATATGACATACTCCTTAAAAAATGAATTTTTAAATAAATAGTTTAAAAATTTAATGTATATTAATAGATTTTTAAACATTGTTCTTATCTCTGATCTCTAAGCATAAGAGGGGTAAATTTCACCAATGGTACCTGAACTTTAGCTATAATTTCGAAGTGGTACCTAAACTTCAAATCTTTTCACAAAAATCCCCCAATTTACACAATCCTTTCACTAATGAGCCATTAGCCCGTTTCTAGGTCAAATGCCGGTTACCATCCGACGTGGGTGCTGATATGGATGCTGAATCACTTCCCCTACCTCACTCTCTTTCCTCATTAACTGCTCTGGTACGAATCTGACACCAAAGATTTGAATCGTCTCTTAGGCGAAAAACCCAACGCGCGAGAAATTGCAGCGGAAAAGCTCATCCTCGACGGTGGTTTGCTCAAAATCTGAATCTCTTCTTCTCCAGTCCACTGATTAGGTTTGAAATTTGGATTAGACGAAGGGTGAACCTGACAACGCAAGTTGTGAGAGTGAAGGCGATTTGCAGTAACGCGAAGTTCAGAACATTTGAGGTATTTGCATGCGTTTACTTTTTAATAGGATGAATGTTTGAATCATCTGAACATATTTATTTTGTGTTATTTCAATTGCGTGCAGAGATATTAAAGCGATGAGGGATTCTGATGATAGTGAAGCGAGTTCAGATACCTTCATTCTCAGTGAAGAGAGCAGCGAAAACAATTGTGAGAGTGAAGGCAATTCACAGAGCGAGGTGATTGGGGTATATGATTTAATTGTGCATCATAGTGGGGTGTTAGGAGAATGTTCGTATTACGAGGGAAAACAGTTTCTGGTAGGGGATATAAATGGCAGGAGATTGACAATGAATACCCTAGATAGGTTGCTGGCCAGAAATGGAATTAAGGGGTTATGTAG